GGGGTGATCATGTGACACAGCTTCAGGCAGTAAGATATATGGGGAAGTCTTCCTGGGAGCTTCTTGGAAAAATAGTCTTTACTCAAACAGAAATGTATACATAGTCATTGAGAACTTTTACAATTTTTCTCCCTTCTTTCCTGCCTTTCTTTTATTTTTAATTTTACTTTAAGCTCCAGGATACCTGTGCAGAATGTGCAGGTTTGTTACATAGGTATACATGTGCCATGGTGGTTTGCTGCACCTATCAACCCATCATCTAGGTTTTAAGCCCTGCATGCATTAGGTATTTGTCCTAATGCTCTCCCTTCCCTAACCCCCACCCCACAACAGGCCCCAATCTGTGGTGTTCCCCTCGCTGTGTCCATGTGTTCTCATTGTTCAACTCCTGCTTACGAGTAAGAACTTGCGGTGTTTGGTTTTCTGTTCCTGTGTTAGTTTGCTGAGAATGATGCCTTCCAACTTCATCTTCTTTCCTGCCTTTCAAGACAGAGATAGGACAGATACTTGAAACTGCAGCAGCTATCTGGAGACTGCGGCTATAAGCCAGGGAGGGAAAGTCAATACGCTAAGGGTGGTAAAATGGAAAAGATGGAAAATGCTTAGAAACTTGACATTTCTGAGACACTGAACCAACCTTGGGACTCTCCTCCAGACTTGTTGGTAATAATAAAGATCTTATTATTTAAACCACAGTTAGGTTTTCTCCTGTAAGTTTTCCCTTTTGCATAGAGTCAACACAGTCCCTGAGATTACTCATGGAGCCAGTAGCCCAGTCCTCTCCATTCACATAAAATTGTCTGGGACCACAGGAATGGAAGACGGTAAAGTGGAGGAGGATAGCATAGTCTGATGCTCAGTCTAGACTCAGAAACGAGGTATGACTGCCTTTGTAATGAGAGGTGGCAATCAGAAGCAGAAGGGGCTTCCCCCACCCCATGAAGGTCTTTGTGAACCTTGGGGTTTAAACACCTTTGGTGCTTTGTTAGCACCCAGAAAAGCACCCTGGACAGTGGCTTGAGGGCATCAGATATCACCAAGGCATGCAGAGCAGAAGATCATGAGCCAATTTCTTTTTAAGCGCACATGTATTACTTCCTGAGGACTCCTGGAAGTAATGTGAAGAGACTCTGAAGAGGGGCCTGGGGTCCTGTGCCAGCACATGGGGCTAACTATCCAGTGACAGGTAATTGACATCAATATGACCTCATTTGTTCCCAGAGACAGTGAGGCCTGTGACATGTGTGATGCACACAACATGTATCATGATTTTTATTTATTCGAAGTTCCTGACAACATACAGTTGAATGTATTCTGCAGACATGGCATGTTGAAAGCAGTCTCTTTCTAAGACAACAGTGGAAAGTATTTTTCACTGTAGATGGTACAGTTTATACAAGCCACTCTCATGTGAATACAGTAAATATATGTTTCAGTATACCCTTGAGAGTTGTTTCAATTTTGAGTTAGGCTGGTAGGTTGTTTTCGACATGTTCCACAACCTTGTCATGTGATACCACTAGTTAGTGGTTTTCAAATGCATCGTCTGCCCTTCCCCAGTAAAATCTGACACAGCATTATATGAAGAATAGGTCAAACCAAGCAGGTATGAGAAAGGCAGGGTTGGGACCAGAGCCCTACACATGTTGACTCAGAAGTACCTCTGTCCTAAATTTGAGAGAATTTTGAGATTTCCCTCTGCATCTATTTTAGTTTTGTCTCTGTTTATACAGTTTTAAGTACTCAGATAAAATTGCACCCCCTCTTGCTATTCATCTGTTAGTCACTCTGAAATGTCAGAAATAGAGGGTTTTCCCATTCTCTGCCCACCTTGGGTACAGTAAGGATTTTCTTTATTTATTATTATTTTTTAAAAAATTTTTTTTAGTTTTATTTTTTTCTTTTTGAGACGGAGTCTCGCTCTGTCGCCCAGGCTGGAGTGCAGTGGCCAGATCTCAGCTCACTGCAAGCTCCGCCTCCTGGGTTTACGCCATTCTCCTGCCTCAGCCTCCCGAGTAGCTGGGACTACAGGCGCCCGGCTAGTTTTTTTGTATTTTTTAGTAGAGACGGGGTTTCACCGTGTTAGCCAGGATGGATTTTCTTTTTTAAAAAATTTATTTATTATACTTCAAGGTCTGGGATACATGTGCAAAACACGGTAGGTTTGTTACATAGGTATACATGTACCATGGTGGTTTGCTGCACCCATCAACCTGTCATCTAGGTTTTAAGCCCCGCATGCATTAGGTATTTGTCCTAATCCTCTCCCTCCCCTTGCCCCCGCACCCCCAACAGGCCCTGGTGTGTGATGTTCCCTTCCCTGTGTCCATGTGTTCTCATGGTTCGACTCCCACTTATGAGTGAGAACATGCGGTGTTTGGTTTTCTGTTCCTGTGTTAGTTTGCTGAGAATGATGTGATAGTTTCCAGCTTCATCCATGTCCCTGCAAAGGCCATGAACTCATTCTTTTTTATGGCTGCATAGTATTTCATGGTGTATATGTGCCACCAGATTTTCAAGGCCAAGTTCTGCCTTGTGGGATGGAGATGGTAATCTGTACCTTCAGTTTCTTGTGAGACAATGACTTTAAAGTAATAAAATTTCCAGACACACAGGCGGGAGATTGAAGTAGTCTATCTACCACTATAACTCTTTGTATAGCAGTCACATCATTCCTTTGGGACTGAAATTCCTTGCGAGAAAGAACCATTTCTTACTCATCTTTGTGTTCCTTGCCATTTCTTGCCCAGAGCAGGTGTTCTGAAAAGTTTTGCTAAATCGAATTGGAAATAGAGAACAGAGGGCATTCTGTAATTAAATTATACTCTGACACATCTGCTTCTATGTATGTAAAAAACAATTTAAAAATATTAGGATTAAGGGTTTTTTTTTTTTTTTTTGCTTGGACATGCTTTCAGAATAAAATCCAAACTTTGTAATTGTTGTTTTACGCTTGTAATTGTTCTTTTCTTTAACAAAATTATTTAAGTCTCCATCTGTGCAAGGAATTGCTCTAGGCACTTTCACATATGTTGCTATGTTTATTTAGTTACTTTCCATTCCCTTGTCAATAGTACTGGGCATTAGTTTTATTTAATTATCACTGTTTCAATATTTAATTTATTAATATATATTAAGAGTCTAATACTTGTAACATTTGTTCCTCATACTATCTCCTTAGTTGGGTATTTTATACTCTTGATACAGAGAAGACAATGAAACTCTGACGGGGAAAGAGACTCATGCAATCCCAGGGTACATACTAGGAAGGAAGCCAGAATGTTTTATGACTCTAGGCACTATTTATGCCTTTTCTTCTGCTCTTCAGCTTCATCTTTCCCTTCAATGCTCTACTAATCTTTTCAGTTGAAGCATCTTTATCTCTTTGGCAACTAATCACTCCACTTCTTTCAATCTCAAAGGAACTGTTATGGTAGTGCTCTCTCTCCTCTCTCTGTCTCTCTCTCTCTCTGTTCAAAGTGAGATTTGCGGTGGGAATTCATGGATGGGTGGAGTGTTGAGACGGAAGGACTATAAAGAGTTGACAATGTCTACTTATCTGCAGCTTTGAGAAATTCTGAGTTGTGAGAGAATGCTTTATAGAGAAACTGCATTTTAGAGAGTCTGTTATTAATTGCCTTTAAGTGCTTTGTTTCTTTCCTGCCTGCCATTTTCTAAACTTGGTTTGATAAACCAACTTTACCAAGCGAGTTATTTAGAATTTGTACTTATCATCCCAGTATTCTGGATGGTGGTATTATAAATGTCAGAGTGTTGCGCATAGAGGCTCGGGTCCAGTCCCTTTGAATTCGTATTATTTCCTGCTTTAGTCCTTTGCTATTCAGAATGCAGTCTTTGGACCATCGGTATCACAATCTGATGGGACTTGTCAGAAATGCAGTTTATCGATTCTCACCAGAGACCTATTGAATTAGAACCTGCATTTGATTGAACAAGATCTCTTTTGTTTCTAGTTAGTCTAGAGTAGCTTTTGCAGCAATCTCAGTCTGTTTTCTTAAAATCCTACTTTTGCTTTGCTTACAATATGCATATACACATTTGAACTTAATTTTGATTATTTTTGTGAGGTTATTCTAATGTGTGTATTATTCACTAGGCCTTTTTTGGGGGGAGGGGAGGTGCAGTTGGCCTTTGGGGATGTCATTCAATAATTTAAATCAGTTACTTTTAGTTCTGCTAAAAATCTTTTGTGCATTTCCTTGAAGGCAAGAACCATATTTTATTAAACCTTTGTGCCCACACAGTCCCTTTTATGTAAACGTTCTATAAGTTGAAAGCTGAATGAATTATGAAAAATGCTTGAATGAATGAATATATGGAAGAGGATGAATCTAGATGGTAAATTCCTTGAAGACTGGGACAATGTCTTACTCATCCTTGAATTCCTAATGCTCTGCAGAAAACCTACCAAGAATGCCTGTTGGTTAATTTGTAGCTGTTAGATGAGACTAGATTGTCTACTTATTCCTGGTGTAAGACTCTAGAGAATAGAAACGAGAGAAAATGAAGTAAAATGGAGTGCTATGTACAGTGCTAGGCACCTTCAGGATTTTTACCTCAGCTAATCACAACATCCTGCAAACTGGGTGTTATTTTACAGAGGCGGAAACTAACACGTTCACGCAGCTCGTGTCAGAGCCTAACAATTCTTGGTTGTAATTCGCAGTATCATTGCGTGCCACAGTCCTGTTTGTGCAGAAATTGAGAGGTGGAAGAAAATGATCCTTTATATAGTAAAATGCACAATTCTCCGTATCCCCCTTGTGCATCAGAGGCGCTGTGGCTCCGAAGGAATGAGCTTTCCTGCCTTTCAACATAGACAACATAGACAAGGCAGGAACAATGGTGTGAAAAGCGTCCTCCCCGCCCCGGTCTTTTTCCGCAGGCGGAACGCAGATGCTGGGGCCTTCAGGCGCTGAGGGGACCAGAGAGGGACGGACACACGGCTCGTCAGTTGCCTGGTAACGCCCGCTGGAGGAGTCCCAGTGTAATAAGGTCCCGGAGAAGTGTCACTGGCCCTGAGTGGGACCCGGTAGCCCGTTCGCTCCGCGCCGGCGGCCTGTCCCCGCGGCTTGGCGGGCTAGGGCAGGGGAAATGTTGCAGGAGGAGTCGGACCTCTCTCTCATTATTGCCCAGATAGTCCAAAAGCTCAAGGGCTCCAATTTGTACTCTCAGCTGGAACGGCAGGCCTGGGTAAGTGAGGCCGAGTGGGAAGGGATGGAGACGGGCGGGGCCGCAGCGATGTCTCTTCTTCACCCTCCTCACCCAAGCCAGAGCTCGCCTCTGACCTCTCCAGCTCCGCTCTGGTGCTCAAAAAACAAACAGACAAAAAAACAAAAACAAAACAAAACAAACAAAAAAACCCCCACCTCCCTGTCTGGTGCAAGCTCTGCTGCCTCAGCCCCAGGCATGGTTAATAGATTTATAAAGGAGGGTGGGGCGCACGCATCACACCTTTTTTCAGACCAGAGAAGCGCTTGGTTTACCAACTCATTTATCTTCTTGTAGTCATTTACAGGGTCTATTTTTTTTAAGCTGCTGGACTCACTGAAGGTAGCTTGGACCACGCCTTCCCTCACTTTTTTCCGTCCTGTGGGGGGACTTGGGTCCCCAGGTACCTTTCTGCTTTGTGGTCAATATATCACTTTCTTGCACTTTACCCTCCCTGCAATGATTCCTCGTCTATCCGTCCACCACCTAGCATTTTTTTGGATATTTTATAACATGCTAGGCACTGAGGATGCACAGATTTATCGAGATCTTTACCTTTTTTGTGACTCACATGAATGAAATCATACAGTTTGTACATTTTGTGCCTGCTTTCTGGCATTTAACACAATGCTTTTGAGATTCATCCATTTTGTTGGTATTTCAGTAGTTCTATTCCTTTTTATTGCTGAGTAATATTTCAGTGAATGTACAATGGTTTGTTTATCCATTATTGTGTGAAGGGCATTTGGATTGCGTTCTGTTTTTAGAGATTATAAGTGAAGCTGATATATACATTCTAGTATACGATTTTGCTTGGATATTTGTTTCTTTTTTTCTTGGATAAATACCTAGGGTTGGAACTGCTGAGTTGTATGGTAAGTGTAATGTTTAATTCTATGAGAAACGGTCACACTTTTCCAAAGTGGCTGTATCATTTTCCATTCCCACTAGCAGTTCTGAGAGTTCCAGTTGTTTTGCGTCCTTGATAGCACTTGATGTTGCCAGTCTTTTATTTATTTTTATTAATTAATTATACTTCTCTAGTAGAAGTGTAATAGTATCTTATTGTAGCTTTTATTGCATTTCCCTAATGACTAATTATGTTAAGTATTTTCTCATGTGCTTATGTATTTTTTGGTGAGGTACTCTGTTCAAATCTTCTGCCCATTAAAAAACAAATCATATTGTTTGTCTTCTTATTGTTGAGTTGTAAGGATTCTTTCTTTATGATGTAAGTCTTTATTAGATATGCGTCTTGCAAATATTTCCTCCCAGTCTGTCGTTATTTTTTTTTTTTTTTGGAGATGGAGTCTCCCTCTGTCACCCAGGCTGGAGTGGTATTTCTTGGCTCACTGCAACCTCTGCCTCCCAGGTTCAAGTGATCCTCCCACCTCTGCCTCCTGAATAGCTGGGGTTACAGGCATCCACCACCACGCCCAGCTAATTTTTTGTATTTTCAGTAGAGACGGGGTTTCACCATGTTGGCCAGGCTGGTCTCAAACTCCTGATCTTAAGTGATCTGCCTGACTCTGGCTCCCAAAGTGCTGGGATTACAGACATGAGCCACTGCGCCCTGCCCAGTCTGTGGATTATCTTTTCATTTTCTTAACTGGGTCTTTGAAAGGGAAAAACGCTTAATTTTGGTGACATAAATTTTTATCAATTGTTTTATGATTTGTGTTTTTTGTTCCCTACCTAAGTGTTTGCCTAACTCAAGGTCTTAAAAAAGTTTCTACTATGTTTGTTTGTTCTAGAAGTTTTATAGTTTTAGCTTCTACATTTAGGTCTGTGATTCGTTTTGAGTTAGTTATTGTATATGGTGCAAGGTAAGCCTTTTTTTTTTGCATATGGATATCCAGTATTTCCATTACTGATTTGTTGAAAAACCTATCCTAAGCATACACAGGTAGAAAGTGCTGGAGTCAGAATTGCACAGCGAGGAGTAGTACCTCAATCAATGAGGGCAAATCAACTGAAACTAGAGGACCAATTAATGAATTGCTTGGGAGGGAGGGATCAAGGCTATCAGGGAGATCTTTCTGGGAAGATTATTGTTTAAAGTTGTGAAGGAGCAGGGCAGGAACAGGACCAGAGGTAGAGGAGAACATTGCCTACAGCCCTTGTCCTGCACCCAGAGGCTAAAGGGGTGGCGATCAATTTGGAGGGATTAGAGCAGTGCTTGCGGGGTACAGAGGAGGAATGAAGACTGAAGAGTTAAGTGGTTGTTATCCAAAAGGGACAGGTCTGCTAATTTCCTTGGCACCTTTGTCGAAAATCAGTTACACACACACACACACACACACACACACACACAATTTCTGGCTCTCTATTTTGTTCCATTGATCTATTTGTTCATCATACAATACCACACTATCTTGCTTTTTGTAACTTTATAGTAAGCTTTGAGATCAAAGTCCTCCAAATTTGTTCCTTTTTTTCCCAAAATTATTTTGGCTATTCTAGGTCCTTTGCTTTGCTATATAAATTTTAGAATCTGCTTACAAATTACTACAAAAATTGTTGAAAATTGGATTGGGATTATGTTGAATCTGTAGATCAATTTGGGGAGAATCGAGATTTTAGCAATATTAAATTTCCTGGCCCATGGACATGGTTTGTCTTTTCATTTATTAATGTTGTTTTTATTTTCTCTTGTCAGGGTTTTGTAGTTTCAGCACAGAAATATTGCACACTCTTTGTTAAGATTTTTCCCTTAAGTATTTCATGGTTTTTGCTGCTATTATAAATGGCAACTTAAGTTTTAATTGTTTATTATTAACATACAGAAATGCAATTGATATTGATCTATTTACCATGTATCCTGAGAACTTGCTAAACTTATGTATTGGTTATAGTACCTTTTCTTAGATTACTTAAGATTTTCCAGGTACATGTATCATAATGAACTAAAGACAGTTTTACTTTTTCCTTTCCAATCTGTGTGCCTTTTATTTCTTTTTCTTGACTTATTGTATTGGATAATGCCTCCAGTGCAATGTTTTGCAGATGCTTTTTTTTTTTTCAGGTTGAGGAAGCTCTATTCTATCCCTAGTTTTCTGAGGGTTTTATCATGAATGGATGTTGGATGTTGAACTTTGTTAAATACTTTTTTTATATCTGTCGATATGTCCATATTATTTTTCCTGCTTATGTTGATAGGATGAGTAATACTGATTGGTTTTGAATGTTGCACCAATTTTGTATCCCTGAGATAAATTCCACTTGGTTATGATGCATTATCCTTTTTATATATTTCTTGACTCAATTTGCTAACATTTTGCTGAAATTTTGTAACTGTATTTATGAAAGATACTGGTTTGTGGCTGGGCACGGTGGCTCATGCCTGTAATCCCAGCACTTTGGGAGGCCAAGGTGGGCAGATGCTTGAGCTCATGAGTTTGAGACCAGCCTGAGCAACATGGCAAAACCCTATCTCTAAAAAAAAATACAAAAATTAGCCGGTGTGGCAATGCACACCTGTAGTCCCAGCTACTTGAGAGGTTGAGTTGGGAGGATGGCCTGAACCTGGGTGGCAGAGGTTGCAGTGAGCAGATTGCACCACTGCACTCCAGCCTGGGTGATAGAGCCAGAACTTGTCTCAAAAAAAAAAAAAAAAAAAAAAGATATTTCTTTGTAGGTTTTTTTTTTTTTTCTTGTAACACTTTGTCTGCTTGTCTGCTTTCGATACCAGGTAATGATGATCTTATAAAATGAGTTGGGAAGTGTTCCTTATTTTCTGGAAGAATTTATGTAGAATTAATATTATTTTCTCCTTAAATATGTGGTAGAGTTCCCAGCAAAGTCACTGGTGCCTAGAGTTTTCTTTATGGACACATTTTTAATTAAAAAAATCCAATTAAAAATATATGCAGGCCATTCAGGTTATCTATTTCTTCTTCTGTAAGCTTTTGTAGTTTTTATGTTTCAAGAAGTTGCTGCACTTAATCTATTTTAACAAATTTACTGGTATAAAATTGTCTATGTGATCCCCTTATAGTCCTTTTAGTGTCTGTAGGATTTGTAGTGATAACCCCTCTTTCATTCCTTATATTGTAATGTGTGTTCTTTTTTTTTTTTTTGAGATGGAATCTCGCTCTGTCGCCCAGGGTAGAGTGCAGTGGTGTGAGATTGGCTCACTGCAAGCTCCACCTCCTGGGTTCACACCATTCTCCTACCTGAGCCTCCTGAGTAGGTGGGACTACAGGCACCTGCCACCATGCCCAGCTAATTTTTTGTATTTTTAGTAGAGACGGGGTTTCACCATGTTAGCCAGGATGGTCTCGATCTCCTGACCTCCTTGATCTGCCCGCCTCGGCCTCCCAAAGTGCTGAGATTACAGGCGTGAGCCACGGGGTGCCTGGCCATGTGTTCTTTTTTCCCTAATTAATCTGGCTAGAGATTTATCAATTATATTAATACTTTCAAAGAAGAAGCTCTTGGTTTTTCTGTTTTCAGTTGCTCTGATTTTTTTTCCTTTATTATTTTTGTCTGCTTGCTTTTGATTTAATTTGCATGTTTTAAGCTATTTAGATGAAATTTAGATTTTTGATTTGAGATCTTTATTCTCTTCTAATTAATGTTGTAAATTTCTTTCTGTGTACTGGTTTATCTGTGTCTATAAATTAGGATATAGTTTATTGCCATTTTCACCCAATTAAAAATTTTAAAAAATTCTCTTGTGATTTTATGGGTTCTAATAACCCATGGGTTTTTTTATAAATGCGTTCTTTACCAGTATCTTTCTTTGATTGATTTCTAGTTTAATTCTCTTATGGTCAAGAATAAAGTATGTATGATTTTAGCTCTTTTAAACTAACTTACTTTTATGATCCAGAATATGTTTTATCTTATTTGTTTCGTATGTACTTGAAAAGCATGCTTATTCTGCTGTTTCTGTTCCGTAATTTTCAATTAGGTCTAGTAGACAATTTTGTTTCAGTATTCTATATCCTTACTGAGTGTAGGGGCTTCAGTCAATATAG